AGTTAAATGTTTTTTTCTCAAAATAATGCTTGTTCCATTGTGACCCCATGTGAGGAAAGCTGACAAAAGCAGCTGAGGGCATTGCCATGAAATAAGAATCCCAACGTATTGATCTGGGGGTTAATTTATGGTTCAGGAAGCAGGAATCCAAGATTGCTTGAAATCCTGTGTCTGGATTTTATTTTCCTCTGCCTTTCATTGTCATTAGGTTTATTGAAATGGTCTTATTTGCAGTAGAGAACCCAGAATTAGTAATCAGTGTTTGTGCTTGTCTACCGTTATTCCTAGAGCTCAACCTAGGCTGTATTTCAATTCACTGTCTCTATTGGATTCTTAATGTTAGGTAAGAAGATAGACCATTTTATATCTGATTGAGGAGCCATTCTGGGTTTCATCCTGCTTTGAATGAGCACTCACTTTGTCTCATGCATAGGGGAACTGGAGGAAGGAAGAGGGAGGGAAATACACAACTCATCTCCATTGCCGTGTGTGCTGTAAAAAAATAAATGCCCATTGCTGTAATTGCTGCCACCAGGTGTTAGATTTTACCTTTGTTTTTTTTATTATATGCACTATAAATAGGGTTGTTCTATTTAGATTGTTATTGTGTGTTATTAAAAAGGTAAAACTATTTGTTTCAATTTTGGGGTTTTTTTTCCCATTTGACCCTTACTTCACATTACTAGTAACCTTTTTTTTCTTCAAATGTGTTTAATCTTAAACTCAAGGACTACTGCTTATAAGCAATAAGAAGTGCAGATTTGGTTTAGAATTTTAACATTTTACCCTGAGCATGTGTTTTTCAACACTACCATTTGCATTTGATTCCACTATAAGCTTATAATATTCAGACTGGAGCGATCCAGCCTCTATTCTTTGTACATGTCTGAGAGGAATGAATTGTTACTTAAATAGAATCATAGAACACCCTGAGTTGTAAGGGACTCGCGGGGATCATCGATGTCCAACTCCTGAATAAATAAATTATATACTTTTCTTGTTATGTAAATCCTTGGTTGCAGTTATGTCAAACTGTGGCTAATAACAACAATTAAATTGACTGATATATTTCTGTAAAGCAAGGTAGGGTGCTACCTTTAACTAAATATCTTCACTAATGCAGATGATAGCTCCAAGGGAGTTTGTTAAAAAGTTAGTGTCAAGCTCTACATCTCAAAGCTCCTTATGGTTCCTTAAAAACCGAAAGAATTTTAACTAGATTTTCTGTATCTTAATAACATGAAAGAATGTTTTTGAAGACTGCTGTTCATTGCACCATAATCTCTTTAACTGTGTTAAGACACTAAGATATTTTTTAAATAACAGTTTGTGTAATTTTGGGGAAAAAAGGATATCAATATGTGATTATTATGAAAATGAAGAGGCAGCTACTAGGTATGGAATTTTGCAGAATACTTGATGAGTTCAGTGTATCATTACTAAATGACTGAAATCTAAGTAACATTTGGCATTATAATAGAAGAAAATAACTGACTAAGCTAGCCTAAGAAGCAGTGATACTGCACCATAATAAGTGTTTTTCTTCAAGCAGCAGACTTTCTTCTCTGAAATTAGACTGAAGAAAATGGGGATTATTAAGGGTGTATGCTGACTGGACAGCAATGCACAAAAAAAAAGAAGTGCATTTTAGGATGCAGTTTCAGAAGACATATTTGTCAAAAATCTGTAGTTATGTGAGTAGCTGTTTTTAAGATTGGACCCTCAGAGGGTATGTTCTGTCACTGAAATTCCTGGAACTTTCAATTCAGCTTAATATTAACAATGTATATTTTAAGGCAACTTGAAAGACTTGATGTAGAATCTATCTTGCAGACTGTGAGAAGAGAACCTCTGAACCATGCTGCCTGGATGGATAATTCATGTTTTCTATACCTCTACTTGTGTCTTTTCATTACTTGTAATAGTTCTGCAGATTTGGGATTATAACAGCAATACTGTCCTTTTAATGAATTCAATGTAGCTACTGTTAAGTGCCCAATAAATGTAAAACCAGCTGTGTTCAAGGAGCAATAAAATAAGGAAAAAAAATCTCTTTGGGCAAAACAATTATCCAAGGGTTATAAGAACTACTATATATTTCTCTGTGGTAAAGAAACATTTCCCTTTCTGTTTCTAATATCATCTTGTATCTCTAACATCAGTTAGCAATTGTAATACTGGTGTCAGGTATAACATATCCCAGCTGCATTTTAGAATGAATTGAGCTGGGACAAGGGATCCTTGGAGCCAACTGAATGGGTGAGAGCTTTCAAAGGGAGAAATCAATACTACAGCAGGATTTAGACAACTTAGTAAAATATATCAGACAGAACTTTGGTCAAAGAATAACTACAATAGCAATTTAACCCATGGAATTTCAGCTGAAAAGAAGAATGTTGGGTACTCTAGCAGGAGACTGGAAGCATAATAAAGGTGTCAAATCCATTCTCTTAAAAGGTCTCATCCTCACATGTGTTATCCAAAATCTCTTTGCATATTACTTCTGTGATTTTTCACACCTAACCTCATGTCAGACATGAGCAATTAAAGAACTGCTCCATTAAGCAAAATTGCTTGGATGTGAAGAAAATGTACATTTTTTTCTGAGTTACTACTTAGTAGAAAAAGTACTTTTCTGATAGTCAGAAGGAGTAAGCAATACTAAAAAGACTAATGGACTTTCTTGGGACAAGTCTTGGTAGAGCTGAATACCTGTACTTTGAGTGGAAGATATTAGCATGCAACAGGTCTTTCACTGCAACTGTATTTTCTCAGATCTTAGCAGAACATACTTTGGGTAACAGCATTTCCTGTGCTTGAATTGACATCAGTCGCAAGGATAGCTGCCCACAGGGGCAGAACTAAAGCATGATTTTGGAGTCTCAGTAATATTCTGTTAATTTTAGATTTCTAGATTTTCACTTTAAAAATCCCTTTTTCCTATTGAAATGACAAAAATGGTAGGAGCCTGTAAAAAGAGTAAGTAAATGGCCAGTAAAATGATGCTGTTACCAGTCAAATACTACAAGTAAAATGTAGAGAAGAGTCACTCCTTTCCCATTCTTTTCATGTCAGTAAAGTGTGAATTTTAAAAGCCCAGTTTGAAAGTATTCAAACTATAGCATGCATAGCAATTAAATTGTTTCTTTGGGTGGTTTCAAAACCAAGGAAATTAAAACCATAAAATTACAACACCTCACTGAACACTGAATTTCCTTGCAGTCCTGCCCTCAAACTGAGTTTGGCTATGGGAAACTGTATTTCTTATGAAGTTTTAAAGTCCCATCCACCTTCAGTTAAGGTATGAGAGTCCCAAATTCACTCATTTGGCATTCTTAGTATCTCAGCAAAAGTATGCAGGAATGGAATCTTTCTTTCTTTATTAGTATAATCCTATTCAAGTAATATAATATGAACAGTTCACTTTGTGGCTGGACTTAATACATTTGCTAGAAGGCTGTGGTTTTTTGACTCTTCCTGAATCTTCATGTGTGCCAGGTGCCTCCCCAGCTGCAGCACCCGTTGACTCACCCAAGCTACTTTCAGATTTGTTAATTTGGGTATTCCCAGCAGCAGTATTAAGCAGCTTTCATCTCACCTCTGTTGTGAAATTCACCTCAAATCTGGGTAAATATCCAGAGGAATCAGCTGAAAACAGCTATTATTATTGCTCAGAGTTGTCTGTGTCTAAAAAAGACACTCTTCTATTTGTTTCAATAGTCCTTTTAACAGGGAAAGGAATTAATGTAGGCACGTATAATAAAACCAAAAAAAATCAGCATATGCCCCAGAACCTTGGAGACATCCACTTCAATTTTTGTTTTACTTTTCTCTTTAATCACACATTCATACATGAATGGTTTATTTGGACTATGATTCTGAAGTTTTTTAAAGGCACTTAAGATGTTACCCACTCCACTTACACACTGTGACCTCTGCCACAGATTAATGCCACCAAAGGGTGTTCACTTGTCACTTGTCACATTCACAGCCAGGATATTAATATAAGCCAGAATCAGTGGTGGTTTCACTAGTGGCTAAACTGAACTGTGAATTGCAGCTGCTAAGAAGCAGACACACCATGCTTGGCAATCTTAGGCAGAAAGATGGCAGAGACGTACCAAGCAGACACCTTTAAAATTATCTCAGCAGGAATCTTCAGAGTTTTTTGTGTCAGAGTCTCTGTGAAAGCAGGGAAGGCAAGCCTAGGGAAACGAATCTGCAAGCTTGTCCTGTGATAGTGTTAGTCCCATCACAGGGATGGGTGCCTCCCATGACAGCAAGGTTTCATCACAAGTGCTGTCACCAGAGCTTCTCTTCTTGTGAAGTCACAGCACTTGAGAATACACTATGTAACCTGTTGGTCCTGTTGCCTTATTTTCTTCGATTAAGCAAAGTTCTTTCTTAAACTCCATGTTAGAATCTTCCATGAAGTCAAAGAACATTTTGATGAGCTGCTATTCTCCCCACCTAGTGCCCCCAGCTTCTGCTTCTTTCATTTGCATTTGCAGAGCTTAGAGTTTTCTCTTGTCTGCAGCTTTTAGTTGGACAGGTACTGGAAATGTAGTTAGGAGAACCATTTACAGCAAATGCAAACAGGCTACTGAAATTATAGTGTCAGAGAGTTTAGTACTGACTGAACCTGAAGTAAAAGCACATCAGCCTGCAGCCACTACCTATATTTCCTGTCCATTCTTGCGCACCAGAGATGATAGTCTAACAGTAGAATTTTCACTTTCTTTCTGACTGATTTTTAGACTCCTAGAACAGTCATCCCTGAACATCCCAGGCTCACAGCTCCTGTTTTTAGATAGAGATACAGCTGCTATGAAACAGCACTGTTCCATGAGCTACTCTAAGCTGCCCTGAAGTATTCACAAGTAGGAATCTAAGGGTATCCTATACACAGCTTCCCATGTTTTATTCTGTCCTGAATGTAGCTCAGCCAGAACATCAGAGCTTGAGTCCGTGGAATATCACAGTGAGTGGGTATGCAGAGGAATTGAATATAGATATAAGCTATGCCAGTGTAAATACCCTGAGAACGGACCGTAAGTTTATCCGGCAATTTTGTTCAGGTTGATTGAGATGTATTATTACATGGTACCTACAATGTACAATAAATGCCTTAAAAAAGTTACCATGAAATTTAAAACTACAAACCAAACAACTGTGTCTTGTTTCCAACATCATTCACTAGTTAAGCATTCATTTGGAAACACTGTGATATGTGTTGTGATACCTATTAAATTCTGTAAACATGATGACAATAAGGAATGTCAAATATTTTTTGAAGACCTTTTGGTAATGTATTTCAAAAACAGCATGAAAGTGATTTTTTTTTACTCACTTTGACAGGTGAATTATTTACTGCCTAGTGTAGTTTTCTGAATAGCTGAAGTTTTCTATCAATGAGATAAATTTAGAATCAGGCAAGGGAAGCCATCTCACTAACCCTGCATCCAACCCCATTCCCAAGGCAGTTTGACTGTATCTACAGCACTTTCTGCTGTACTGCAAATGTCAAACAGAAGGTATAATGGATTTAATATTAGTGCTGGCCAAGGTGTTGAGGGAGCTGTTAATAATGCCACTCTAGTTATTGATCTGAGGCCTTTAGAAACCAAAGAAAAGTGAGAGATCCCCAACTGGGGAAAGGCACAACAGTGACTGGGTTTTATTGCCAATATATTTCTACATATAGAGTGCTGACTTTCTGGAATTATGTGATCATCATTAATCTTTGAGAGATTTTTGGAATCATTATGTGGTAGGATAATATCAGGGTGACCTGTGTGCATGCTAATGTTAAAACTTGCTTTCATTTCAGTCACGAATCAGCTTTAAAAGGTACAATTGTAACAGCAACAATATTAATACAAATCTTCAGCTGTAGGGTAATTTTGTTCATTCTGTAATCATGTGCTGGTGAGGTTGAGATACGTGGATTTGACTCCTCCTAAGAACATTGTCATTTCATCTGTCTGTTAACGTGCAATGTGTGTAGCTGCTATTGCAGGAGGATAGATTTTTCCTAATTATAACAATCGTGGCTCCGCTGCCTCTGTTTACCACAGAGATAAATTTGGCTCTGAGTTTATATTCTTCTAGATTCCTTTGCCATTGTTAATCCTTCAGGATTAACTTGTAGTGTTTTGTTCTAAAATAGAAATAGGTTCTTTGAATAAATGCATGCTTTCTTCCTTCACCTAAATTTTGCAATCTTATGGCATTCTATACAAGGAACCTCTGATGTCTTTAGCCAGCAATTAATAACTGAAAGTAAAATGTAGGATTAGTGTTTAATGTACATCAAGTAATCATATAGTTCCTTTCCATGTTTATACAAGGTACATAGAGATAAGTCCAGCAGACAACTTGGAACCTGCTGGATCAAAGATGAAATTTATATCTACCACAGCTAGGCCATAGAGTAGGTCCACTAGACAGAAATATGCACACACAAAAGTTCCATAAATACAGTGTATATATACCTATGTATATACATGTATATATATATAAGTATTTATGTACATACAGAATGCACTTGGTAAGTTGTGAATTCACTTATTGCAAGTGTATTTACTGTATTACAATATTAGGCAAGTATACTTATTATGAAATTCCAAATCAGTATAAACAGAAGAATAATCTACCTTTGCTTTTATTTGATCCCCATGTACTGTGATAAGCACGTACTGTGATAAACACATACTGAAAGAGAATTGATTTTTAAGCATAAATTCTGTTAACTCTTCCATGACTACAGGAAGACTATCAAGTAGAATCTCTATTGCACTCTGGACAGATCGGTATTTAATATGGTCTGTAAGCTCTTTGGGAACATGCAAGAAGAAACTAAAAGTAATGCAGGAGGATTGGAGAATGCATGAACTTTCTACTGTACTCCTTCCCTTACTTAATAAAGAGAAATACATAGGTGAAGTAGACTGGAGAGTGTCTGCTTGCTTGTATTGATTTCTCCAACTGCTTTCTTCAGATCTATTTGATTTGGACTCTAGGTCAAGATTTTTCTTTCATTGATCACGTGTCTGTAGCAGTACCAATGGAGCGTGTTCCTATGTCAGTTAAAGGGTTTTGAGAAATAACTTATGTTGCTGGATATCCTCAGTCTTATGTGGGATTGGTTTTGGTCATACAGCTTAGCCTGGAAAAATCAGAGTAATTGTGTTTCCATCTTCTCCCATTTACTTGTGATATTAAGTCTACATGTGCATTTAGAGTACATTCCATTCATTTTTCTACACAGACATAATGTTCATTTCATTCTTCCATCAGAAGTGCTTTGTTCTGAAATCTTCCAGAGTTCTTATTTTGTGACCTTCTCTCAGCTCTTTCAGTCCTGTCTCTTAGTTTCATGTGAAGGCTGCATTTTCCCAAACAAAAGAATAATTTTATTCTATCACCATATTCACCTATGTAGCCTTAAATTACACTGGTTTTTTTCTCCATCCTGTTGTTAAAAATTCATATCTCATTTGCTCTTGCCCCCACCACTTGTCTTGTCTTTACAACCTTCTTCTATTTCTTCCTTCTAAATATTGCTCTCTGACGTGTATCTTTCCAAAGAAATTACCCTTCACTGTATTCATTATATCTATCTTCTAACTGTAGGTAATCTTTGTTTTTTTAATTTGACAGACTTGTTAACGTCCACTTCAAATGAAATGTAGGTCACAAAATTATTTTGTAATCTACAAATTTTATTTATTTCTCTTTTTAGATTCATAAACCCAGAAATTATTGTATTTAAACAAATCATGTTTAAACAAATCATTTTAAGATTTTTTATTTTGTGTTCTTCTATAATATAAAATTGCACTATAGTCTTTATTTCCCCAATCTATGTTGATATTAACTTGTCTTTCAAATATTATACTTCTAATTGGAGCTAGATATGCTGTTTCTTTTTAGAGTAGAATAGAACGGTACTGACTCAATAATCTGAACTTCTGAGCAGATCAGACTTGACTGCTTAAAGCTCTTGGCTTGTTGTCAGTCAGTTATGTTTAATTCATCATACTGCAGACTAAAACCTTGTTCTTGTCAAAATTACACAATTCTATCTTCTTTATATACACAAAACAGCAGAGATACAAAGGATGATATTACTTGGTATCGATTCAGCTCTGTGGGGGGGCAGAGATCACAAAAGGCAGAACTGGCCAAAAGGAATGTCCGCCTTCAGTGAGCAATTTTACTCATGGTCACACTGGGAAAAGTCTGAAAATATTACTTGTGTGTGGAAGGTTTGCTGCTTCCAGTTCTTGAAGCTGTTCCCAGGCACTTTGTCTCAGAAACTGCTTGCTTTTCACCTGTGAATAATATGTGAGCACTCTGAATAAGTCATCTAACTTATCATCACTCTATCATCTCTATTTGTTTATCACCAGGTAGAGCAGATATGTTGTCTCTCTGATTTTATTACATTTTACGTTTTTTCACCGGGGTAAATTGCTCAACTAGCTGCTGGGCATTTAAGAAATCCACTCCCTTGTTTGTTCCCTGAGTCCTCTGTGCTGCTGAATCCTGACATTTCAAGTCTGAATTTGTCACCCCTCCGTCAGCAGCAGTTCAGCTGTCAGAGAGCTGCCTATCCTGTTCCTGCACAATGGGGTTGTAGCCCAGAGGCTCATTAGTGCCACCTGTAATGGTGATGATGATACTCATCTGCACCAGTCACAAAGATAAGGCTTTTTGCAGTCGGGCTATTGGACAGGCCCATAAGCTGTCTGTGGGAATGCTGTGCAGCCAGTGTTCATGCTGGCTACTCCCTTCCAGGACCGGACGCTTAATGGGTGATGATGTGGCAGGACTGAAACATGGTACTAATACCGCCCAGCACAGGTGATTAGGGTTAATTATTTCATTAAGTGTAGCTTATCAAAGTGCATTACCTTTAAAGGTTTTGTAGAACATTGAATGAATAGATGTAGTTGTGCTGTCATCAATAACATAGAGCTTTCTTTTTTCTTTTTTTTATTTTTAATGAATTGCATTCTGGTGATAGATGCCAGATGGAGACAGCCCTGGGGAATGAAATTGTTTGTTTATCCACAGAACACGTACAGCATGGGCAGCAGCAGTGTAGTCTTTCCCATGCTGTTGCATTGCTGCTCTCCAGCCTTGTCCTCCAGCGATATTCTATAAAGGTGGGACGACAGTTCACAGTTCTGGCCCTGCC